TAGCATAGCATAGATGAAGCATTCCACAGAGAAATGACAGATCCTCCTGTGATGAAGTGTTTCATCAAATGAGGTAGAAACGCCCTCATAGTATCACATACCACTGACCTTCATTCTGAGAGTACAAAAGTTGCACAATTTCAAAACCACTCCCTCTGATTACATATTTTAACTTTCATGAGTAAACTTATTCCAGTTTTTTTGACTAAAATTGGCCTGACTAGACAAGATTAATTTATTGACTCCAAACCATTCAACATGTTATTAGGTGTATCTCATTTCCTTTCAATTACCAAATTAGTTCATTTCCATCCAATTCAATCACAATCATACAAAGATAACAAAAAATTTAGAGCTAATGATTGATCTCCAAAACTGAGCTACAAGACAAAAATACATGCAACATCAGTTAATTTCTGGTCGATGGCCAGCTCACACAGAAGAAGGTCACCAGTGCAGCAATGAAGCTGTTCTCAACATTTTTTCTACAATGACGGTCTAACATCAAACTACGCATACAAATTCCATAAAAGAACATAAAAGAAAATCACCAAATAACTTCAATTAGTACAAAAAATGCACTCATAATCTTCTCTGAAACAGAGAAAAAGAAGAAAAAAGAGACATGCAGCACGGAGAAAATGCAAAATTTGGAAACAAAATGAAGATCGTCCATAATGAAGCGACTTTTCATGACAATAAACACCACAAAAAGTTTCGAAACGTTGTCTTAAAACGGAATAATACAAAAATTTCAGAGAATAGGTATAAAAAGAAAGTGTCATTAGCGGTTACCTTGCGCTTGATCTCATGGATAGGATTCTCCGAATCTTCAATATCCGGCATGTAAGTGGAGGGGACCCGGCCCGGATCCGTGTGCACGGAGACGACGTAGTTAGATACGCACATGAGGGCAACGGCGGTGAAAACGGCGGCGTTCATGATCCCAGGGGAAGACATGAGACCAAACCAGCGGTCTATGAAAATGAAGACCGTTGAGAAGTATATGAAGGCGATGGCCAAAACGACCACGGCTACAGGCAGAGAGAATTTGAAGGTTCGCTTCATCGTCTTCCAGAAAGTTCAGGTTCAGGAGGAAGGGAACAGTGGGATGGAGTCACCGGCGTTGAAACGACGGCGTCTCCCCGGGAGGCGAATTCTTTATTTTTCTCTCTCTTTTTTTTTTCTTTCCAATTTTCTCTTTCCGGTTTTTAAGGTTCTTTCGTTTCTTGTAAGAAATGGTAAAGTGTGAAGGCTGGTGACCGGCTACCGTTGTTTCCCATTCTACCCAAATGCTCTTTTTGATTTTCTCTCAAGCAAGTTAGAATTTTAATATTTGAAGTATGAGTTTAATTATAATTGAATTACATATATATATATATATATATATATTTTGAATTTATAAGATTATAAATTTGTTTGTGATTAAGTTATAAATCTTTTGTTATAATTTAGTTTTATTACGAATATACTTTTTTTTAAAATATTTTTAATAAAATTATAAAAGAATTACTAATTTTACATCCGATAAAATAATCTACGTGCCTGCTGCAGCCATCGAGACCTTCCCCTGCAGGGGTTATCGATTCACTTGGTATTGGAAATGCCGTACTCAGACCATTCGGGAGCGGTTTGATAGGTGTGTGGTTACTAATGATTGGTTGGTTCGCTTTCCACAAGCACGACTAGTAAATTTGACAGCCCCGACGTCTGACCATTCTCCCATTCTATTGACATGTGTTGCTGAAACCAGCTCTTCAGGCCCTCAGCAATTTAGGTTTGAGAATGCTTGGTTATTGAACTCAGATATTGAAAGAGTTGTTAGGACAGGGTGGATGGATGCTGAGTCGGAGCATATAATGCAGCGAATAACCACATTTGGCAACGCTATCTAGAGTTGGGGTGGTGCGCATGGTGGAAGATTTAGGGAGCAGAAAAAGGAACTTTATCGTCAAATATTGGCTGCCAGAAAGCATAGTTCACCTGGCACCATGGAACAACTTATACAATTGAATGAGGAGTTCTTAAGCCTTCTGGAACAGGAGGAGGCAGTATGGAAACAGAGGGTAAAGAAGTTTTGGTTGCAACATGATGACCGTAATTCTAAGTATTTTCATCGTCAGGATACAGTATGGAGAAGGGGCAACACTATAAGCATGCTTAGAGGGGAGGACGAGTTGTGGATCAGGGATAAACAGAAGATGCATGACCATGTGGTAATGTACTTTTGGACCTATTCTCAACACTATAGGGGAACTGTGATCAAGTTATGTACCTAATAGATAACAGAGTCTCGGACCAGATGAATGCAACTTTGTTTGCTTCGTTAACAATAGCAGAAATCAAGGTAGCTACTTTTCAAATGCACCCTGATGAATCTCCCAGGCCTGATGGTATGAATCCTTATTTCTATAAGAAGTTTTGGCATATTGTGGGTCCTGAGCTCATCTCCCATTGTTAGAACTGGTTTTCCCGAGGTGTTTTCCTTGAGCAGGCAAATGAGACCAATGTTATCCTTATTCTGAAGTCGAAAAATCCGAAAACGATTCGCAAACTTCGGCTGATCTCTCTGTGTAATGTTGTTTACAAGATTTATGCAAAAGTGTTGGCAAATCGACTGCATGGTATCATCCCAGCCATTATCTTTGAATCGCAGTCGACTTTTGTTCCTGGAAGGATGATGATGGATAATATTCTATTAGCTTTTGAATTAATTCATAGTATGAAGATGGTTGGTCGATGAAAACGAGTTAACATGGCACTGAAAATTGATATTAGCAAGGCATATGATCACATTCAGTAGGATTACTTGGAAGCAATGTTGTTAAGGCTGAGGTTTGCAGAGAAATGGGTTCGGCTCCTGATGTAGTGCGTGTCGTCGGTTACATACCGAATTTGTCCAAATGGTGTTTCTCTAGGTCTAATTACTCCCAAACAGGGACTTCGTTAAGTGGATCCTCTTTCTCTCTATCTTTTCATTTTATGTGCGGAGAGCCTTTCGGAGCTCTTCCGGAGGGCAAAAGCTATGGTTGACCTACATGGGATGCAGGTGTGCCGATAGAGTCCTAACATTTTCCATATTTTTTTTGTAGATGATTTCGTGTTTTTCTTCAGGGAAAGTGTTGAGGAATGCAGGGTTGTGAGAGACCTTCTATTACAATATGAGCAGGCCTTGGGGCAGGCTATAAACTATCTAAAGTCAACCATTTTCTACAGTTCGAATACTCCTCAAAACCTCCGCGGTGGCCTGAACACAACACTAGGGGTTCATAAATGTATGGATCATGATAGGTACCTAGGTCTGCCTTTTCTGATGGGACGAAGTAAGAGAAGCATATTTAGTTTCCTTAAAACTGCTCTTAGTGCTCGTTTGAGCGGGTGGGATAACATGTTTCTCTCCAGGGCGGATAAGGAAGTTCTGCTTTGCTTGGTCGCGTAAGCACTGCTGACTTTTTGTATGGGCGTATTTCAGATCCATGTTTTGTTTTGTAACGAGCTCCAACGAATGATGAACAATTTCTGGTGGAGGAACAAAGCAAATGGTGGTAGGACCCTTCATTGGATGTCATGGGATGCATTGTGCAGAAGTAAGGCCGAGGGGGGAATGGGCTTTAAGTGGTTACATGAGTTCAACTTAGCTCTGCTAGCTAAATAATGTTGGCGGATTTACCAACATCAGGTGCTTTGGTCTCCCGAGTGCTTAAGGCCAAGTACTTTCCACAAGGTGATTTCTTACAAAGGGAACTAAGATCCAAACCAAGTTTCACATGACAGAGTTTATTTGCCACAATTGATGTGGTGCGGAATGGCTTGTAGTGGATTATAGGTACATGAAATGGAGTTAAAGTATTGGCTAATCCTTGGTTGCCGCGTTAAAATGATTTTTATGTCCGTAGTCTATGTTTAGAAGGATGAGAGGATTTGACAGTTAATGGGCTCCTGCATGAGAATGGTCGGGGATGGAATAAGGAGCTTGTTAGGGGTTTATTTA